ACATGGGAAGTAATGAAATTCTATTTAGCTTGACTTCAAGATTTACTACCTGTTGTCAGCCTCTTCTTCTGGCCACCTGAAATGCCTCTACTTAATGCATCACCAACCGTTGTGTCACTACAGGTATCCAGTCCGAGGATCTAAGAGACCGAAATATAGTAATTCAATTTGCACGTTAAGTGAGTAAACATTGTTTGTTTTTCAAGTACTTAATGCCAACACTGCTGGTAGAAAATTTACCTTCAAAACGTAATCGGTTTGGAGATTTCTCTTTTGTCCTTGAACTGATATTGCCTGCAAGTATTATGTTAACCTCTAAGCCTCTAACACCGTTTTAAAATTCACTAGAGGGAATGTTATAAGATTTCACAACTACCTTCATGTAGGTGTCAATATCTGGATCAGGCACTATTCCCGCTTCTTTTTCCCTTCTGCTGACCTCCATCATTATATCTGCATAGCCAAAACGAAATTGAACTTCACATGTCACGAGAAGTACATGATTAACCTGATGACAATAAAAGCAGACGGGCATAAGGAATGCACCAGCTCTACTCCGAACACCCTGACAGCGGGCAGAAAAGTCGATTGTTTCCCTCACGGTCAACTCAGGTATGTGAAGGTCGTATTCGCTTATGTAAGCTGACGTTTTCTGGGGGACAAACTCATCTAGCTTGTGACCATTATAAGTAATCTCCCCCGAAACCTGAAGGAAAAAATAAAAGTCTGAGTTTATGACGATTGTACATGGTTTAACTCACTAATACACTCCATTATATACTGAGTTTTTGAATATTAACATATAAAAGACTTCAGGACCTACATGTCTAATGTGGATAGGCATGCATTAATATGACTGCTAATCATGTCTTTTCTTGATTAATACTATTTTAAAAAAGAAGGTGATTTGCAATGCTCACCTTGAGAGATTTGTCTTGTTTTCCTGCAAGAGCTTGTAACAAGGTGGTTTTCCCACAGCCCGGGGGTCCAAGAAGGAGAGTAAGCCTGCATTTAAACCATGTTTATGAGAAAAAAATTTGAAACTATGGCTTGATCTACTGATTATATGTTTCTTAGATTTTAATATTTCCTTACTTGATTCTGGAATATAATTATCCAAAATGATAAAAATGGGTTCTAGAGTCTTAGCAATTCAACATGCATACAAGACCTTGATGGTTTGATGATGCCACTGACATCTGTTAGAATGCTTATCTTGGCTTCTACGGATTTGCACCAAATTGCCTTTGTAAAAACCTGTTCAAAAGTTGTACCTTCATCAAGCTTAGAAGGACAAGATATCTCATTTGGAGTGAGTTCAAAACATATACTTACTGATAACAAGCTTAGAAGAGAGTTCCATAGCGTCGGAAGTGGCTTTCCTTGGACTACCTCACACTCTGCTTCCACAAACAAGTTCTTGTACCTCACCTCCACAGTCGGCAGTTTCACATTCACTCTAGAAGAAAACTTCTTGTTAGCTAAACAAAATGCACATATGAGCAGCCAGCACAATGTGTAGCCTCCACAACCATAAAATGAGCAGACTATGAGACACTAGATGCATGATTGAGAAACTGATAATAAATCTACAAACTATACTTTTCCACAAAATTGAAACTTAAACAGCCATAAGACAAAACGTTAAAGCATAAATACCGGTCTATTCTTTCTCGCAGTTTCTGTAGAAGTTTCAGATTATCATTCTCTATGTGGCTTATGAGTTTTTCAATGAACAGATGCCTCTCATGTGCTCCTAACTTGGTAACATCAACCACCCTCTTCCCTGCGTAGTCTTTCAAGTCTTTTCCACTGCTTCCATTCTCACCACCACCAACATCAAAAAGTGAGGTTCTGAGGCGTTTTAATGTAGGCAGTCTCTCAATTGCAGCCCACTGCAGCTGAACTTTCTCATCCTCCTCCTCTATGATTGAGTGGACATTTCTTTCAACTGGTGTTAGCTCCATTTGAATAATATGCTGCTCTGTGCTCTAAGCATCCCCTTCAATTTATAACTTAGTGTTAGCCAACTTTTACTTGACTTAAACAGTCAATCCTAAATGAGAGAAAGCATTCTTTTTTATACAAGCGATATTGGGAATTGGAAAAATCAAACTTACGAGCTAGGATGCGGCAGAAGTAAATACTTTCAATCACTTGAACTATAAGCCCTTGCCAGACAAAACCATTCTTAAATTGGTTAACAACTGCACATATATTTTTCTAATGTGAACTGGTAGAAATGGCAGTCCATTTCTAGCAAAGCTCAATCCTTGTCAAAATACTGACGTGCCCAAGTAGCTTTTTTTCCTTTTCTTTTCTTTTCTTGTCCTGCTGAATAATCCTTGCCTTTTTGCAACTGAGATAGAGGTCATGTGCCCCACCGTCATTACATTAGTGGAGGGAGGTCACAAAGAGATATGTTCATAACATCTTTTGCACTTTGTATGTACAAGTTTTTTTTTCTGTAATCAAATTCCACGCAAAGTTAATGGGAAAAAGACCTTGAAACTAACAGTCAACTTAAAGATTGTCCCAACAATAAAGATTGTCCTTGCTAGGTGGTTGATTTATTTATTTTTGAGAGAGACTTGCTAGTTTAATTCTTGAAATTTTAAATTCATCTCCTTGTTCACGAGGCCATGATTTATTGCAGAAATCAGTAAACATTTCCCATAATTTTCTTTTCTTTTCCATATCAACATCAGAGACCAATGAAAAAAAAAAAAAGAGGAAGATCATATAGCTCTTTTGGCTCTTTGTCTGTCTTATCGTTTTCCACATTCTCGGGGTTAAAAATAATAAAATCATTGTTGAAATGACCAAGACTTTCATTTCAGTCTGTGATGTTTGTTGGGGCATGCATGGGACAGCATTATTTAAGTGTGGGCCTCAAAATCTAAACACTCTTATATTTACTAGTACGATTGAATAACTAAAAATACTAGTATCAGTTGCAGAAGGGAAAAATAAAAGGCTTTGCACATTTTGGAAAAATAACCAAGCACATGTAGGTAAGAAGGGTGTAAATCAAATGGTTAAGATTGTTTATCTTCATAGACGGAGCCACATGTAGGTTTGGGATGACGGTCTACATATAGCTCGATGTACTTTTTAAGATACTTAAAGTATTTTAAATTATTTTGTAACAATCGAAAAAAGAAAAAAAATTCTGGCTCCGTCATATTGATCATAACACGACAATAACTTACCTACTCAAAACCCTTTTCACACGATAAAGTTGATACTATTATGTGATAAAAGCAAAATAAAGCAAGGAAGAGTATGAAACCTAGTGGGATCTGCATGTTTAGGATTTAACCATTTACCAACCAAAAATATTTGTCTTCCGGATGCACCCAATTATGACGTTAATGTTATAAAACTTGAGAAAATGACATTGATAAAGAAAAAGCACAACAAAAAAAGTAAAAAATGTCATACTGATGGCTAAGAATCAAACTTTTGAGGCTTGAGACTCTGTGTGAGCCCAACTGGAAAACTGGGTCAGAAAAGGCCTTGACCCAATGGGCATCTTTTGCATTCATGATTCGTCTACGATCCATAAAAAAAAAAAAATTTGCTTAATATTTTCTACCGAGTATAGTGAGAAAAAAGAAGTTAATTCGACTATAAATACGCGATACTATTATATGTGAATGTAACACCATGTAACATGTGAGAAAAAGAAAAATATTGACACAATTCATCACTATTCGAGTTGTTTTTCTTATAAGGGCAAAATTACTATAGCTCAGAAAAAATAATGTTGTTAATATAATGATAACAAGCCATGTGATCCATGACACCCAAGTAATTAATTGACTATCAAATTTCAAGATCATATATTGATGTTAAACAAATAGTGTGACTATGTACGTATCAGTTGTCATATTACGCAAAATAGAAATTTGAACTTGAATGCAAAACGACGAACACACTACTTGACCAACTGCCTAACTCAACTCGTGTATGTTGTAAACAAGTTATTGTAAACCAAAGTTTGAGTGTCATGTTGTTTGTCCATGTGGGTCATATCTGCTTCCCTTGGAATGATCAAATTATTGTGCGACACACAATATCATGTAAGAAAGCGAACCCGATGTCCACTATAAATCCCATTTTTAGTTGGATGTGCTTTGTCTGAAACAACCCAAGTGGGATAATTATACGGGCCTGGTTTGATTGCTCAGATATTTGTTTAAGCAAAAGAAAAAATTGTGGAGAAGCAAATCCCCCACAACTCTTTTTGAGATCTACATCAAATTCAGTGGGAGGGCAATTAAGTAACCAACTTTCTCTCTGTGCTTCTTTACAGCCTAAAAGTCTTCATTCAGGCTTTGAAAATTTTCTTTTTATTAAGCTGGTGAAACTGTGAAAGAATCAGAATTGAACTAGAGCACTGCTTCCTCAGATTCTTTTTCTATTTTTGTTTTTTTAATGTTCAAGCAAAAGAATCTAAAGCACGAATTTGATCACATAGGGAACCAAAAACAACCTCAATGGGCAGAAAAACTTGTATGAAACTATCCCCTCCAATGTTATCACGTATGACATATAATGATTGGACGGGATAGCACACGATATGTCGGGATAGCAAAATAGTGTTATCCCTGTTTCATGTAAGTGTTTGAGGAGACTTGGGGGGTCACAAATGTTTTTAACACTTGAGCAGTAAATCATGGCAATAGCAGAACCCCAAAAATACCAGCAGAAACAAGTCATAGGAGAAGACAAATTATCAATTGTATTAAATGCCACTTGCCATGTGCACCAACAATTTAAACATTGTTGTTGCTTCACCGCAAAAACCATTTGTCTATAACCATGAGATGTGGTGTTAACCATGAGGTTGGGGGTTCGATCCCCGCCCATGGGAATGGAGCGCATTTTGTGGCCAGCTGTTTACCTCCATTGGGAGAGCTCCCGCGGCGAAAGGGATTAGTCACTACTGTCGGCGGTGGATACCCTTGGGTCTCACCTAAAAAAAAAAAAAACCATTTGTCTTATGGATTCTTATTATCTCAGTGAGCAGCGATGATGGCATTACATTCAACCTCTGTGAACACAAATTTCCATATGTTTTGTCACTTCCATTAACCAACATAATAATAAACTAATACATCCTTGAAAGAACCCAAAAAATACAAATCATTAATAAAAATAAAAATAACAAAACAAAAACCCAAATGGCAAATTGCCTGTATAGAGAGCAACAGCAGCACATGCTCAAATTAATTCAATGTTGATGAAGGGCCTTCTTCATTCAGAGAGAGAGAGAGAGCTTCAAGCTTGGACCTTGTCCCATTTGAGTGGCTTGACCACCTCCCATGTGAAGTCAGTGTCATCCCTGCCAAAATGCCCATAGGCAGCAGTCTTCAAAAACCTTCCATTGCCACCCCTCTTGAGATCTAGGTTGATGGCAATCATACCAGGCCTGAAATCAAAGCTCTCCTTCACAATCTTGAGAATTTCCTTGTCTGGGATCTTCCCAGTGCCATAAGAATCAACAAAAACAGACAAAGGCTCAGGCACACCAATGGCATATGAAACTTGCACAATGCACCTCCTGGCAAGTCCACTGGCCACAATGCTCTTGGCAGCCTGCCTCACAATGTAGGCCCCACTCCTGTCCACCTTAGTTGGGTCCTTCCCAGAGAAGGCACCACCACCATGAGCTCCCCATCCTCCATAGGTGTCAATGATGATCTTCCTGCCAGTGAGACCAGCATCACCATGAGGCCCTCCGATGACGAATCGGCCAGATGGGTTGAGATGGAAGATGGTCTTCTCATCAAGGTACTTCTCAGGGATCACAGGCTTGATCACATGCTCCTTGAGATCAGCAGCAATCTCATCGTTTGTCACGGTCTCGTCGTGCTGGGTTGAAATTAGGACAGTGTGGACACGAATTGGAACCATGGCACCCTTGTCATTGTAGTACTCAACAGTCACTTGGGTCTTGCCATCAGGCCTCAACCAAGCACAAGTACCATTCTTGCGAACCTCGGTGAGCTTAGCACCGAGCTTGGTTGCAAGGACATGGCTGAGGGGCATGAGCTCAGGGGTCTCATCAGTGGCATAGCCAAACATGTGACCTTGGTCACCAGCACCAATCTCCTCAGGCCTCTTGGTCAAATGGCCATGGACACCCTGAGCAATGTCAGGGCTCTGCTGCTCAATGTTCACAAGAACCTTGCAATTGTCAGCATCAAGACCAACATCGGCTGATACAAAGCCAATTGTACGGCATGTGTCTCGAACAATCTTCTCATAGTCTACATTGGCCTTGGTGGTGATCTCTCCGAAGACCATGACCATGTTGGTCTTGGTGCAGGTTTCACAGGCCACCTTGCTCTCAGGGTCTTGTGCAAGGCAGGCATCGAGCACTGCGTCTGAGATCTGATCACAGAGCTTGTCTGGGTGACCCTCATTGACTGATTCAGAGGTGAACAAGAAGGTTTCCATTTCTTACAATCTGAAAGAAAAAAACAGAACAGGAGCACATGCATAAGGCTTAGTTATCAGTCTTTATGCAATCAAAATCCAAAATTACACACATGCATAGCCAAATTCAGATCCAATTCCGTATACGCCAAGAATTACCAAATCAAATGCATGCAATTAAAAGCTACCAGATCTGCAATGTCAGAGCCCATTTCTAAAACCCCAAACAATCCAAAGTTCAAATTTTCGAAAAAAGCCAACTACTTTCTAATGGATCTACTAAAAATAACAAAAACCCAGTTCCAATTTCGGTCGATTTCATCACAAACTCACTCACACAGCACGAAACTAAAACATGAAATGAAGTCCATAAACACCCACCAACTTAAATTAACAGATCTAAAAGCCAAATTCACACAAAATGAGACGAACCCAGAAAGAAAAAGAAAATCAAGCACCAGAAACACACCTCAAAATCGAGAGAATGAGGGAGGGGTAGAGAGAGAGAGCTTGAGTAGAGGAGAGATTGGAGCTTTGGGTGTGTTGTAGTCTCCTCCTCAAGCGGTTCGACAAAGTTCGAGTTTGAGGCCCGAATTTATAGGGAAATGTGGGTGGCCTTCCCAAACCCCTAAGCTGCAAAAATTGGGTCATATTCATCCTTGATCACGTGGCATGTGAATCTTGGGCCCGAGGTTTAATCTCAGTCGTCGGTGAGAGGGAGTCGGTGGGTGAAAGAATAAAAGGAAGGGGATCTACTGCTGGTCTAAGATATGCGGAGGACGCGTTTACCGCGAAAATCACCTGTACACGGAACGCCCACCAACCCCAGCCTGTCTCTTATCAAGTGATTAGTCTACGGTTTTGACTAATCACCCCATTTTGGCTCTTACTTGGACCATCCGCAACTATCATTAAGTTGGAGTTAATGGTAAATTGGCACCTTCTTTTGTCATTATGCACACTCCGCACTTGTGTTTTCCTAAAGAACAAATAATAACTATAGTGATACGAGACATCAATTTATTACACCAGCTGAAGTGGCAGTACGTTTCTTTTTTTTTTTTTCATTTTTGTCTGATGTTTTTCTTGTTTTCTATTTGGCCGACTGTGAACAATATTTATTCACAGAAAATAATTCACAGAAAATAAAAAAGGGAGTTGATTTTTCCATTTTTTCTTCACTTACATTTTTTTTTGCTTTTTAATATTTTTTTAAATTAATTTTGTTCTTTTCTTTCCTATTCTACCTTTACATTACATAAATTTCTTTTTTACTTCCTTTTTTACCAATGTCTTTTTCTTGGAGCTTTAATTTTAGCAATGTAATGCACTAATCGAGTAAGAAATAATCAACACTGTATATGTATTTATGCAAAATTATACGGTGCACTTGCTGCAAAAACTCATGCCCCAGGAATAAACCTTGCAACCACTGTTTCTTTCTTTTATTATTATTATTTTTTTAAAAGAAAACAAATTTTTATGCAAAAGACAATAAAATACAAAGATGACCAAGGTGGCCACAAAGAAACAGAAAACAAAGAAAAAGTAACTAAATTGAACAAAATTCTCATATACTCAATACTAGAGCTCAAATTAAAATCACAACTTCAGTAACAACTACAGAAGAAGATTTAATTTAACCAAACTGTATCATTCCACTTAAACCATCACAACATGGGTTGCCAAAAAACAAATTATGTTTGGTGGCTAAGAAAATTCAACCATACAAGAGCAGACACATTTACCAAGAGCTAATAAATTAATTTAGGGTAAGGGTAGAATAGGAAAGAGAAAGAACAAAAAAGAATAAAATTGATTAAAAAAAAGTATTAAAAAGCAAAAGGGAGTGTAAGTGGAGAACATGGGAGTGGGAAAATCAGATCCCATAAAAAATTGTGACTCAGAACGGAAGCACGAAAATGATAAAAGAAAAACAAATGTTAACCCTAAAATTAGTATAGTGGAATCTACTAGAAAAGAGATAAAATCTCAACAAAAAAAAAAATTTCGAGAGACTCAATTATTTTATTAATTAATATGAATAAAGCTTACAAATACAACTCCATGAGTTGACTTAAATATAAAAAGAAAGAAAAAACCATAATTCCACAATAGTCTTAAAACTTAGCTAATAATAAAATAAATAAATTCTAACCAAAATCGTATTAGGAAAATAATATCCTAATAAACTCTTATTCTTATATTAGAAATATAAAATTAATCTTTCCATAACCCATATTTGCTTCAAACTTCCTCAAGCAATTCAAAAGTCCCAATAATAAATCATTCTTCCTCTTTTAAAGCCATAATTGATATTTAATAAAAAATTTCCTCTCTTTGACGCTTTCATGCCAATTTTGAACTGATTGCTTTTCTTTATTTTCCTTCGCAGGAATTCACCAATTATTTGTCCTACATCAATTGATAACCAAAATTTATTGTAGTAAGTGGGTATCTCACATTCGACCAAAAAAAAAAGTGGGTATCTCTAGTTCTATTATAATAATTATGCTCATATTGTGTTTATGTAATCCCTTATTAAACCGAGTTAAAACTTGGCATTAAGTTCCAAGAAAAAATATTTTAGCAATCCTTGTATACAACAATTGGTCATGTGATTATGATGTGAAGAGTGGGTACGTGAGACTCATTGTATACTCGAGATTTTTGATAAAAATGTCAACTATGAGAAGCACAATGGGTACAATACATCATTGACCAATATCAAGTGGCAACCTACTTGACATTTAGAATGCGCATTCATTGTTTGAGCTCCTAAATAAAATGGCATCAAAAGGAGAAAGAGTTTCATAAGACGGGATTAACACTATTTTGTTATCCCTGATCAATAACGATATGACACGAGCAATGAGAGTCTCAAATTACATCTTTTTAATATTATTTTGGAGACTTTATGATATAAATTTGGCTTAATAAATATAATTTCACTTGTTGTTACATTTTATTCTCACCAATTGGATTTATGAATTTTCTGTATTTAATTTGATGAACTTATTAGGTGAATTTATCTTTTGTAGGAAGTTGGATAGCCAAAAGATGAAGATATATATTTGTTCAAGCCAAGTGTGAAGAGAATTGCTAGCGGATTTTATTGAAGAATTGATTGTGGGATTATTGTGATTATAAAGAGAAGTAAAGAGGGAGAAGAGAAGACAAAACCGTTGAAGCTAAAGAGCCAATTTCATGTCATTCATAGCCATTTAACGTCCACTACCTCACCGTTATTTCTTTTCCACTAACTCTCCACCATCAACACATGTTTAATCCAATTAATCCCTCACTTAAACCCTTCATTACCCACCATGAATGTATTAACTTTCCA